AGTACCGAACCAGTGAATACCAACACCGAGGAGATCGTTATACATGCAACCAGCATAGATGGCAAAGAGGCCCATGAACAAGAGCAAGTAGCGAGCATAGACCAAACCTTGCTGCATCCCATCATCACTGTACTTCCACTTCTTAGCATTGGACAAGGCCCAGAGAGCAAAGCATGTGATCAAAGTACCATGACCAACATCACCGTACATAATACCAAACATGAAGGGGAATGTGATGATACTCACAACACCAGCATTGAACTCCTGATAACGAGGGATACCATAGGTATCGACCAAAGCCTGAAAGGCAGCAGTGAACTCGTTAGTCTTCGTATAGGTGGGAGGAGCCGCCCTAGGCTTGGCGATATCAGCCACCAGCATAGCAGAGGCAGCCAGTTCAGACTCGCCGAGTACACGACGAATAGAATCCTCCTCCTTAGAAGGGTACCAGCAGTCACATCTCAGAGTAACATCACCCTCAAAAAGGTTAAGAGTAGCATAGATGTTCCTCTCCTTAATGCAGAACAACTTCCATTCCTCAATACGAGAGTTGCCACCAACACGAATGGGCTCGACAAGGCCTCTGGCTTCATCACGAATGAACCTGTCGAAGCCAGCCAAAGCATGAGTCTTGTCAGCGATGATGCTCTGCAGCTCGTTGATTCTGACCCTAGCCTCGTCATGAGTAGCAGGCCATTGATAAAGGTGAACACCAACAGCACCACAGATACGATGGAGCTTAGCGGACATGTAACTGTTAGCAGCAGCGCCTTGGAAGTAGATGACGAAGACACTCTTGCGAGTATCGGGGATCTCAGTGAACTGAGTGAAGGTGTTACCACGAGTAGCACGGAACACAGTTCTAGCAAAGCTCTCCTGATCCTCCATCTTCACAACACCAGCAATGTTAGAGAACTGCATGCCCATACGCTCTCTACCAGTACCACGAGCAGTGGGCTCACCTTGCAATAGAGGAGCCTCGAGGGCCGCACCAGTGCCAGCAGCAACAGAACCAGAGCTGAGACTGTTCTGTACGACGTTCAACTCCTCAGTGGCAGAGTCCAGCTCAGCAGTCAAGTCCTCGTTGTTACCACGGAAGCGAATGAACTGTTCGTAAACTCTCTTGATCTCAGCCTCTAGGGTGTCAAGGGTGAACTCATCATCGTGGTCCAGGAAGTCGTCAATACGGTTCTTGTAAAGAGTGACATCAGGCATCTTGGCGATCTCAGAGTCGAGCACACGGAGCATACGTTCCATGTCCTCAATACGTTGGATGTACTTACGATAAGG